TTACAACAGTACCTATGAGGTTCACCTGTGGCTATGAATTAGCCCCAGGCTTTCTTTATTGCCATCCTGGCCTTAGCTTCCCACCATGGTGGTTTTATCCACCATCTTTATTGAGCGGATGGGGGCAGGAGTATTAGTTAGGGTTATCAGGTTTTTCCTGATTTGCACCCGGTACTGCTCTACTCCTTGTTTTGCATCATTAGACCAGACCATCTGTTCCGCCTAAGCTTTTAGTTCTATTAAATTCATTCTACCATAATCACTGCGGACCTTGTTGGGAGGAGGCTGCCTCCATACGGTGAGTGTGAAGTGGATCATGGCATGGTCACTTTCTCAAAGTGGCGCTGCTATTTTCAAACGCTCCACATCGTTAGTGCCCTCAGTGATCACTAGATCAAGTAGAGCTGGACTGTGCCCCGTGCACCATCTATTATTTTAGTCGACGTGTTGCATCAGAGCCTTGTCGTGGAAGACATCCAGTAAAGCTTAGCCAAATGATCCCTTCCGAGCACTCTCGTTCTCCCAGTGGATCTGCGGAGCACTGAAATCCCCAACAAATAGGATTTTGTTCGCTTGGGTTGTCGCTCTGCGAAGTAAAGTTACTAGCTCTGCATCTTCTTGTGTTGTTGCTTGCGGGCTGCGGTAGACCGCCAGCACAAGGTGAGAAGTGTCGCTTATCCTTAGCTTGCGGCTGACCCCTTGTAGATTGGGCGTGGCCAGTGTCTCCTCCGGCTTTTGGTAATAATGCTGGTAATTAGTATTAGTGACCCTCCTCCCTGTCTCCCTTCTTTCCTGTCTCCTCGGTATGCACAGAAGTAACGTGGGCGGAGTTGGTCAGTTACTACATCTTGGTGGAGCCAAGTTTCGGTGACCACTTTTTTATCCGCGTGGCTCGCTTCTGTCCTCAATCCAGGCCACTTGTTGCCTACACTGCACGTGTTGGTGTACAAAACATGGAGCCTTTCTTCCCTCCCTCGGCACGGGTCTTTAGTGGATATCAAGACCCAGGACCCTACTACCGTACCTGACGCAATGTACGACTACAGTCGAATTCAAGAGGCAGTTAGACATGGTTTAGACCCAACTGTACCCAGAGGTAGTATAGCAGCGCGGTTTGAGGTTGTTCAGAAATAACAAGCTCTTGTTTCCCAACTAATTTCCCTTACAGATATCGTACTGAAATCAGTTTGCTGCCGGAAAAGAGTTTCAAGACAGCGACCGAAACGAGTTTGAAGCTTTGGTAGAAGAAACCTTCTTACCGAAGCAAGAACCTGGACGCGCGGTTGGTGAAAGCCTTTTCCGTCCTGTGATACCTGACCCAACCTGATTTACAAACTGAAACTCGCCATATATTACGTTTTTTAACCGGCTATCGTGTAGCATCAGTTTGACTCTTCCTGTGAAACCAATTATTTATTCATCAGACTACAAATAAACGCACGACAGCTAACATCAATCGTTATGCTAGATAAATGAAATATAAAAATGACCAACCTGATTCAACCCTAAAACCATGCTCGATCACTAAAACCAACTTATTTGGTAAAGCTAGAATGGAGGCAAATGCTGTTGATCATAAGTTGCAGGAGATGGATTCCCAAATATCATTGTTGGGGAACCTCATTGCTAAACGTATGCCTATCGTACACATTATAGAACCACCCGTGTGTCCAGACAAACCTAACCTACTCAGAGCTGGCATGTACATTGACACTATTGCGGCTAAAATTCTCAGACGTGATAAATTCCTAGAAGTCTGTTGTTTTTAATATACTCGACCGGTTGTCTATCACAGCAGTCAAAAATATTATTCTCAAGTCCTGCAATATGGCGCACCACGACTGCCTCTGCATCCGGTTGTGCAAGAATACTCAACGCAACCACTGTCCGCTTTTAATTCAATTTTCTGACAAAATGGTTGCCTCTGAATTCGTGTCTAAGCAACTGACTATTTCTAAAACTCCCCTTTCAAGCAAATCAAAACCTTCCCCGATGGAACTACATTACAGAGAGATATTGCTAAATCCGTGAAGAATAATTCATGATATCTTACGGGCTCAATTGATCCCTCTCCTATATTGGGCAGGCAAAAACACCCAACGTTCCCTGCCTGCCAATTACCCCAAATCTGCCGTCGGTTGACCTCGATAAAGCTGGCTTCCCGACCTCAAGGCAACCTCCTCGTAAACGCCCACATGTGAAATTAGCCATCCCATTTCGATCAGATCACCAGCGCAATCGACCAATTCTCCCGATTTAGTCACTATTCATCCAGCCTCGACGACTAGGGCAGCCGCCCGTCTTTCGACTCAAAGCTCCCCCAACCCCCGCTATACATCTTCTCCTAAACTATCTTCTCGGTATGCCTCCTCGTTCATCACTCGTCCAAATATATCAGATCTGCACCAAACAAAACATTTCACCAGAGCGATTCCCACCCCATCAGCAACAAACAATCCCACCTTAAGGCCATTCTATTTATGAATCCTGGTCCAATCGGCCTGTTACTCCCTATCTACCCATCTACCCCAGTCTCTTTACTTAACTTCCCACCACAGTCTCTCCAACCAAATATATTCACCCTTCTT